CATATATATATATACATACTTTCTATAATAATAGCTGTGAACACCACCACCCCAATGTCTTTGGGAAAAGTGCCAGGAAAACGTTTTCAGACACATTTCTGTTGTCTTAATAAAATGATTATAATATGTAGGCCTGGTCAAAATGTTCTTCAGATTATAATGCTCAAATAACAAATCTAAAATAGATAATTTTGTTCCAAAACAAAATATGTGTTCTACATAGATAATATGTTTCCAAGATTTCAGACAAATCCAAACTTTGGAGCCTAAAGTAATAATTTACCATTTCAAGAAAAGGTACAGTCACCATAAAACACAATAAAGGGAAACATCTGCTAATGGACAATTTATCAACATTTTACTTTATCAAAAAAAAATGCTCAAAAGTTTGAGAACAAGCATGACCTGGATCATGGAAGGGCACCAGCAGAAAGGTGCCAGGATGCTCGGTGTGGTTGGCCCGGCTCTGGATGATGGAGTGAGCTCTGAGTCGAGCCGCAGTGATCTCCTCGAACATGCTGCCCGTGGTGTCCATGACAAACACCAGTGCAGGGGCCTCCTTGACCATGAAGAGCCTTTCAGAGAACATTTGTACTAAAGTATAAACACCAGCACTGCTCACAGAATCGAGTTCTGTAACACGATGTGTTGATGGTCTTACTTGAGGAAGGCCTTGGGGCCGACTGTGTCTCTGAGGTCTTTCAGTACAGTCAGGGTGGCTTCAGTAGCTAAACTTGCAGCTTCTTTATGAAGATAATGATGAGGGGAGAAGAGCGGGGAGGTGCTGTCTTTGTTGATTCCTCCTCTGGCGCTCTGATGTCGACTGCTGTCCACAATACCTCCGTGGCTACATTTTCCTGGAAAAAGAAAGACTGCTTATGTAGCTTCAAAAGCAGGATGTGAAAATCAAAACGTGGCGAACAAAGTCATACCTTTAGGCTTGGAGTGTGCTTTGCCGAAGTATCCAGTGGTGAGCAGTTGGGAGTTCCTCATCATTGTTGGTAAGAGATTGTGCCGGCAGGAGGTGAAGCAGTCCCTACATGTAGGAATATTTTCTGAAAACAGGAGGAAGAAAAACTATTTTTAAAAGCTACAAATTTTCACTTGATGCTTCCATTTCTATGCACTGAGGGCTGTATTTTGTAGTAGTTTACTCTACAAAATATTCATACATTGTTTGGCAATTGATCAAATGATAAACTGTAATTCCTCTTAACTCTAATAAGCTTTTCATCACAGTCCTATTTTTAAGACAAAACCTTTCAATGATTAGTTGCTCAATTTCTTCTTTTAGATTCGATTAGATTAGATT